AAAAAAAAAAAAAAAATTTTTTAAGGATTATATAACGGTAGGCTAACCGATTAATTATCGAAAATCGATCGGTTGACACTAACCGATTATATCCGATCCTCGATGTTGAAATCTCAACCGATTCCCAACACTAATAAACACAGATAATTCAAAAGCTCAAACATAAATCTTATTTTTGACCCGACATTCATAATGTCATGTTCTACATGTTGATTTGAAACAATTTTATCTCCTATGAGGGAAGTGGTAGATTGTGCATGCACAAAGTACATTGATTTTTATATTATTATATTTTGGGGGGAAATTATGAACACAAACCATTCAAAAGGTGGCTTTTATGAAACATTAAAAAAAACTACGCCTTGGACAAACTCGGCAGATTTAACACAAAGATAAAGTATTTTCTATATTGGACTAAAAAGAGTGTCTGGTCAAATTCAGGTTTTTATTTAAGGACAAAACACGTACAATGCCTAACGTGTATAAAGCTGGTTGGCTGTACATATTTATATAAATGCTAGGCATGTGCTAGGTGTGAGGCATGGTATAGGGACCAATATCAACAGTGAAAGGGACAGACAATTGTTTCCTACATTCATATTTATATCCGGGATGCACAAATCCAGTTGGTCTATCAATGCATTAGTACTGTTACGAATTTAGAAGCCATTTAATTGTTCAAAGTGTACAGATGATTAGCTATGCATTTTATTAGCCTTGGCTCGTGGTCAGTGTCAGAGTTTTATTTGAAGATAGTAGCTAAGTAACTGTAGATAATTGTGCTTGTGATATAGTTTAGGATCTGTATATTAATGTGACCCTCTGTAGTCTAGGTGGGGGAAGTCTAGTTTGTGACGTAGTGTTTGTGCCTCCGCAGCTGGCTGATGCTGACTGGGGTCAAATTTAGCAGGATTTATGGCCAGTTTATTAGTTTAACCTTGTCGTGTAGGGGTCATATTTAGCAGGATTTTGCCAACTTATCAACAATTTTAATGTAGCAGGATTTTGCTAAGGGGACAGATAATAAGGTAGTCAAGTTTGGGAGTAGGAGAGTAGATTGGGGGAGTTGGGATAGATGAGAAGAGTTGAGAGTTGGAACAGAGGAGTAGAGTTTGGGAATTTGAGAGAAAAAGTAAGGTTGAGTTAGGGAGACCGAGTTGAGAGGTCTAGAGACATAGAGGAGAGTTAGAAAGTTGGAGAAGTAGGAAGTAAGTAAGAACTGTCGTTTTAGTTGTAGTCTTAGGTCTGTGTAGTCTTGCAGTTGATAGTAGGAGATTAGCTTAGAGTGGAGGGATTGCGTTCAGAATGGTGAACACTTGTATATCATATGAGGGATTAAAACACATGTGTTGTAAATAAAGTGTAAATATCAATGTACTTATTGTGTTGTTCAATTAATTTGAACTGGTGGCAGCGGCGGAATTGTTACAGAAAGTAACACGTTGGGATATGAATACAAAACGTAACAGTACTACCAGAAGTAGCCTTGCTCATGTCCGCAAATTTGAAAGCTGTTGGGATTACTATTCAAACACGTGATTGTGGCAACTTCAATGAACACTGTCTAATGATAGTTTGTTTATGTCAAGTATAAGGGCATGTTATTTAGAGCTAACACGTCCTAGGTACAAAGGTATCAAATACTTTCGTTTTCTATATACGTAGGCCTACTGAAGTAAAAGTATGACAGCATTTTAAATATTGAATCCTGTCAATAATAAGTTCGAGTCTGTTTAATGGGAGATAAAATTGATACAAACACCACTGTTACACATATTACTCACCGTGCGAACTTAATATAAGATAATGAAAGCGCAGACAGGTATGTGTTTTCAAGACACAACACTTTTCTTCCTTGTCCCGCCCGAACACGGATGTTGCCTATTCAACTATAAGCAAAGAATCGGAATTGCGGTATAGAACTTCCGGAATTTTTAAGGTTGGTTGGTTGTATTGGTTTGAACGTCCTATCTACAGCAAAGGTGACTAAAGGATACCTTCACATATTATTAAAAAATTACAGAAACTGATTTATTTATCTTAACATAATTATATTTGGGATCAGGTATGTTTTAATGTATATATATATATTTTATGTATTTCTCGTATCCGACGTCTGTAATTACCCGCCTCATACCTGTACATAGTGTACGTCAACGCAGTGAAACCTAAAAACTTTCTTTGTTTTTGATACATATAGTTGTTAACTTTCAAGTTTGACCAACACATATACATTTTGCAGATAGCACAAACAGAGACGTATATATATACTACAGAGAGGCTGTATATGTCACTAGCACAAAGCTGTGTGTATGATGTTAACTCACATTTATATTACTGTGGCTCACAAAGCTGTGTGTATTATGCTAACTCACATTTATATTCCAGTGACTCACAAAGCTGTGCGTATGATGGCAACTCACATTTATATTACAGTGGCTCATAATAAATTATTTATATTATTATATGCATGGAAATTTCTCGGCATCACATTGGTCGGATCACGTGACCAGTCCTCAAAAACTCATGTAGACAGCTGGTTATAGCCAATATGGATTTCCCCGGAACCTGTCGTAGCGCATGCGCAGTTAGACCAGAATGCGATCTGTCGGATGACAATTCCGTCTTTTCGCATTGTAGAGGTATTGAATGTTACGTCATTAGTTTGTGTGAGAAAATTACGTCGTTTTCTTAAACAAATATGACGTTACTCCCACAAACAAATGACGTAACAATCAATACCTGCTCACAAGAGCAGATAACTCTGCAATACGAAAAGACGGAATAGAAGATGGCTGCTGGCGAACGTTTCTTCTCCGTTACATCAGAAAATTTCCAAAATTATTCGAGGAGAAAGATGCTGTTAACATAAAAAAGGCCATTGAACACGCAGTGCATGTCCTCCATACTTATCTTAATATCTTCGAAAGCTGCAATGCTGAACTGTTGAATTCAAACCTGGCTAAATTTTACACGGAGGCTCGCGTACGAAAATTAGAAGCTATTTTTTATTTTTTATTTTAATTTTTTTATTGTTGAAGCTTATAATTACATAATAAAACAGTTATGGGCTTTTGTGCTGGTAAATATGTGATATGAACCTCGGTCAATATCACTCTTTCAGGTTCATATCACATCATATTCACCAGCACAAAAGTCCAAAATTGTATAATATAATATTTATAGGCTTTTAGATAAAGAGTTTTATCTATGTCAACTCTTATAACGTGTAATTTTAAAATCAATATTTTGAATTCCGATAATTAATGGAAGGGAGGTAAGTCGTCTAAATAAAATGATCGGTTTTAATTCAGGCTCCTCATCGGAATAAGACATAAAATGCAAGGTTAAATACTGCTCTACATTTACTATGAATTAATGACATGATATCATGTTATAGCTAGGGGCCCTTGTGTTTACTGACGCCTTCCAACTTCTTAGACCCTCAATAGACTTTCTTACGATAAAACATACCGTTGGACTTGCCTATTCCGAAGTTTGTGTACATAATTAAAAGCTGTAGATCTAGAGGGTGCAGAACCCACCTGTGTATGGTTGCAAACTAAAAAAAGAACGTGTTCAATTATACCTCATCATTCTTGTACGTCAATGTCATATGTTATATTTGTTTCTTATGGTGTTTTTCTCTAAAATACTCTAAAAACGTTGCAAATAAATTATACAAGTATTCAAACCAGTCTGTCCCAGGTTAAGCTACTTCACACTAACTATTGAAGTAGACAACACATCCTGTATTTCTGCGTTATATCACCTTTTTCTTTTTATGTAAAGAAATTTGTCTACATCATTAATCATTCTTCTGTAGTGTAAAGTAAACTGCTTACAATATAGACTAGATGGCTGTAGTCTGAGAAATAGAGAAATGTAACAAAATTTAACTTTCAAACTTATCTGATCAGTCTCAATAAACCCCTCTTGTACCTTCTGAGAAATAGTGCCAAAAAGAATTGTCCAAGGAAGGAGGGACGGACGAAAGGTAATTTGAATAGCCCACCATCTATCTTGCTATTCCGGTAAGTCTCAAAATGAAACATGAACAACTACAAAGGGAAACCTTCATATGAAATTTGAGATAAGTGTTTCTGGTACATTTTAAGAAAAGGCGACGACAAGAATTATTTAAGGACGAGCAACGGACCATGGACAAATGGTGATTTGAACTGCCCATCATTTGATAATCGCTAGTTAAAAAACACAGTACAAAAAGATGAGTTAAGAGTAAATTTTCTTGTAAAGCAAACCATAAGTGCAATTCAAATTATAATTGTTTCTTTTACTGAAACTTTTTTTTTTTTTTCGAACAATATTAGTATTATTTTTTATCATAATTTAAAAAACAGACAATATTCTATATTTTCTTGATAAACATAAACATAAACATAAACATACCAAGCAAAGAAATTAAGTGACAACCGTTAACAACTTCATTGTAAGAAGCTTTTAATCAAACTATAATGAAAAATATTTTCGTTTCTGGGGTTTTCTACGGAACACAAAATGTCTAGTGTTTATAGACACTATATATGTACAATCAAGTCATAACAAAATCGAATGTTCCTGGTAAACTTTTTAATTGGCTTCGTGTGACAAATCGCTAGGCTGACACCTACTCTTTGAAAAGTACAGAGGAGCGATACACAACTTCAGAGCCTGAAGATCATACCGTTAATGGGTTTTTGGACATATTTAACATGAATCGCTAACAATATGTCCATACACCCATTATTGTTATGACCTCATAAATGTTGAAAAAATAAAAAGCATTCCTTAAATATAACGGTATTATCTTCAGGCTCTGAAGTTGTGTATCGCTCCTCTGTATACCTGACTTTTGACCCCATATAAATCCGCCGTCACATATCAAAATCTACTAAAACTATACGCTTTTCTAAAGTTAAATATCTGTAGATTTAATTCAACAATTACCCATTTAAATTACTCAAGAAACCTAGTACTTAACCTGACCAATGTTAGGTAGGGATTGTAATCGTAAACCACACTTGCTGAATGGCTGATTTAGTTGAGCGAGTACATTGTACTAAAGAGCCTTCGATTTGTTCATGACATATTTCAGTGAGGCAGAAAGAATAGGTGTTCCGAGGATGGAGACCTGGATTTGAGGGACGCGGTAGAGCGGTCTATAAAGAGTGGTTCATCGTAAATAGTTTCGTAAAATAATTGATACGGGAATAGACTTGTACATAAACGAGACGAGTTATAACTCACTTAATAGAGCTGAAACAAGCGGACGTAGTTAGTCTTCTCCGCAGTGAGTACAAACATGTCACCACAAACAGCTATTGCAAATGGAAGGTTTATTCCGTCAGATGACGTCAGCAGTTTCCTGACGTGCATCCCGTCCCTTGACATCTGTACGACGTTTTTTGAAGCATAACCACAAAGGTAGATGTTGCACTCCTTGTCAACGGTAACTCCTGCAGCAGCACCCACAATACCCTCTTGTATCACAGCCGTGTCACGTTTGTCAGCCGACAGTCGGGACAGCAAAGCTTCTCCCTTAGTGATAGTGTGACAGCTGACCAGTATGTCTTCATTTGTTGGGTCATGTGACAGGAAATAACACCTACACTTATACTGATGTAGCAGATCAGCGGTGCCGTCCGGTGTCACACTGTACACTTCTGCTTCTTCTGTGTTTGTACAAACGACAAATCTTCCGTTGATATGGGTTATACCATTTACGCCTTTATCATCTGGCATGCAGATCACGGAAGAAAGTGATATTTTTGAGTTTTCGACTTTCACGACATGGACACCACCAGGGCTGCTAACTGCCACAGCCACTGTGTTGTCGTTCACATAACACATATCCCAGGGAGTTCCTCGCATGGTCATCTCATCCAGGTACTGTCCTTTATCTGTAAACAGCTTCAGCTTTTTGTTGCTGAAATCACTTACTACTACTTGATTGTACGGAAGGTACACAACGCCAACTGCATCACAATCATTCTCATCTGATATAGTTTTTATATCAAACTGTTGTACTTCTCTCACGCGACGCCTGGACATTGAAGAAGCTAGGTAACCATGACTCTCAGGAAAGCGTCGTGGTGGTTTCTCAATGACGATATTCCCCATAGCGCCATCACCAAAGGTCGCAAGTTCGGGTTCGGTCTGATGCTTAACATTGACAGACGTGAAAGATTCGTTCATCTCCATGACCAGGACCTTACACGACTCAACTTCTGCCTGTCCTCTCTGATACAACACTATCGTTTCAGTGTTATCGTTTCCCTCTGTAGCTTTAATGGACGACTTCAGGGTATTTAGCATACTGTTCTTTAGACGTTCACATTGCCGTAAGGAGTCGTCTAATTTCCTCTTTTCGTCTTTGAACAGCGTGATCAACTTGTCAGTGTAGTTCTTCTGAAGCTCGTCAAGCCGTTTGTCGATCATTTGGCGTAGATCTGTAATGCTTTGGAGAGTGATTTCTTGGTTCTTTACCATGACTTGGAGCTGTTCGTCAAAGTCCTTCACTAAAGAGTTCATGACATCTGCCCCTTTCTGTAGTGCTGCCTGCATATCTGTCAGTTGCGATCCTGCTTTTAGCTTCTGAATGTATTTCGTCGCTGTTGTGACTGCTTCACAACGTCTATGGTCTTCTAAAACGCATATGTTACAGCCAAGAAGTTTGTGATCTTCACAGTACCAAACCATATTCTCGTCGTGTTGGTCACATTGAGGAACAGCCGGGTTCTGTTTTGGTCTATTGCTGTCGTGCCTGTTAGTATCTAAAATATCACATTCAATATGTATGATATCATGGTGATCAACTTTACACGTCTCACAAAAACCAGATTCCATTTTCTTGCACCAGAACTTGGCAGGATTGGACAGATTTCCTTTTGTTTGACAAGGTGTGCAGTACAGTGGTCCAGACGACTGTTCCTTAAGCTTGACAAGTTCTTGGATCACACCATTAGTTGGAAACTGTTTAGCCCAGTTTTCCTTGTTTTCCGCTTGATTGACAGGCGTGGCCATCCCTCTACAAACTGGACACGGAAAAGACGTCGCCGAAGCCATCTTACCAGACAACTCCTTGGTGATGTAGGTCCCCAGGCACTCCTGACAGAAGCAATGGAGACATGGTAAGGACTTGGGTTGTCGAAGTCGCTCAAGACAGATTGGACACTCTAGTAAGTGTAAGTCTAGTTCCGGACAGGGTCCGCCTTCAGCCATAATGAGGATCAGATTGGTTCAACTTTAAACTGGAAATGAAGATATTCGATTTATATATTATTGATTGTCTCCCTAACTAAAGAATGTTTATGTAAATTACAGTTTTAAGTACGATGCAAGAGTAATACATTGTGTTCTGTGAGATGGTCTGAAACAGTATTCTTAGACAAAAATATCGTTGTCATTCCCAAGTATCATACACTTACTAAGTAATAAAGCTAGATTTCATAAAACGATGTCACTATTTTCTTTTTAAATGAACACATGACCAAAATTGAAAATAATATTAAGTGTCAAACTAACAAGAGGCCCAGAGGGCCTGTATCACCTGTTTCTTTTGTTACAGGAAACTGACATATAGGTCACTTCAGACCAAATTTGGAAACTAGAACACAGGACATTTTTACATCTCTGAAACAGTTCTTAAGATATTGTTGCTTGAAATTTCAAATTTCAATTTTAAAGCTTTTAACTCAAGTTGACCTTTGACTCCCCACGTATCATGACTAGACCAAATGCTTCATAGGATATTATAGGTTGAAGTTTTTAACATATTTGACCCTTGTGACCTTAAAGTAAGACAAGGTCATTTTAATGAGGCAGCTTTATAGCGATTCATCCCAGGTACATCCTGGCCAAATATCATGACCCTGGCCTGATGAAACTTGAGAAGATTGTTAAAGCTTAAACCCATGGTGGCATTTGACCCCCGAGTAGCATTTAAATTTGACCTTTGACCTCATTACTGTTATTAAGAAAAAGATTCGCACTGCTGGTCTACATAACATACTCAAGTATCATGACTGTAGTCCAAATGGTTCTGCACTTTATAGCACTCCATCCCAGGTACCTACTGGCCAAATATCATGACCATGGGCCAAATGGAACTTGAGAAGAAGATTGTTGAGTCTTTTAACCCATGTGGTTGTTTGACTCCGGCTAGCACTTAAAGAGTTGATATTTGACCTCATTACTGTAATAAAGAAAAAGATTTCCACTGCTTTGTCTACATACATACTCAATTATCATGACTCTAGTCTAAATGGTTCTTAGGATATTTTTGTTTGAAGTTTTTAACTTATTTGACTCCTGTGACCTTGAAAGTAGGTCAAGGTCATTTTAAAGAGGAACGGTTATAGCACTTCATCCCAGGTACCTACTGGCCAAATATCATGACCCTAGGGCCTCCAGTTCTTCAGAAGAAGTTGTTCAAAAGAAAAAGTTGACAGACGAACGACGGACGACGCGGTATATCATAAGCTCACATGTCCAGGTGAGCTAAAAACAGCAAGTCATTTCAAAAATACTGTCAATCAGGCATCTTCTAAACCACACTTGTTGTCGATATCACATGATATCAGTTAGACATTATTTACATGGTTAGAGGTTCCATTGCAGAACAATATTCCAGACCAAATTTGGTCAGAATCTATTCCAACGTTCTTGAGTTAAGAAAAGCTGACGAGGGATGGACAGATGGACCAATGAATGGTGGACTAAGGATACATCTCTAAAGGGCCAGAAGTGTTAGCATAGGCCCATTGGGCCAGCATCACTCACATGGTATTATTGTCCCACTCGTGACCTTAATAGTGGAATAAAATAAACATACATGCAAAATATCATAACTATTTCAAGTAATTCAAGGTAATCAAGATTAGAAACGTACGTAATAGCCTTTCATCCTTACCACATATCATTAGAAGTTATCTAAAGGTTTATACACATTTGACAATGTAATCTTGATAGTGGGTCAAAGTCATTCATGTAAACAGACATGTATAGTTCTTCATCTAAAAATGCTATTGCAAAACAGCACCATCCTATGTATTTTGTATATAAAATGCATTTGAACGTTTTCAACACAGCTGATCCCTGTGACCTTAAATTTAGGTGAAGGTCATTTATTTGATCAAACATATCTCTTGATCTGTTTGTATCTGATTAAATATTACCACGCTACCCTTTTGGTATTCAGAATGAGTCATTTAAATGTGTACAATGTATTTGAACCCCGTGACCTTAATTATGAAGGTCAGACATTTAATATAGCGTTGCAGCTCTTTATCTTATCATGTAACGGCTTAAATAGGAATGTTGGTTACATGCAAAACACCTTTGAAATGTTTTAAACACATTTGAACTTTGTGACCCCTAAATATGGGTGAAGGTCATTGATGTTAACACCCTTGGCAGCTCTTCATCTTAGCCTGCTACTGGCCTAATGTCATCACCCCGGACATTTTGGTTATTTATAAGAAGTCGTTTATATAAATAGTTGACGCCTGACAGATGGACGGACAAGGCGCAATGGCAAAAACAATAAAAAATAATCTCATCCAAAATAATACAAGAGGCCAAAGGGGTATGTATTGCTTACCTGGATATTTAAGTAATAATTTATATGCATGTCTTTCAGTTCTTCAGAAGAAGTCATTTGAAATGTTTGATATATTTTACCCCTGTGACCTTGAAAATACATCAAGGTACCTGTGTAATTTTCATTTGAAAACTCTCTACGACTCCATCCCATGCAGCTATCAGTCAAATAAATTGATTATATGCCTACTGGTTCTTCAGCAGAAGTTTTCGAAATGTTTGACATATTATACCCCCATGACCTTGAAAGTAGGTTGAGGTCATTTTCATTTGCAATCTCTGTCAGGATACATCCCAAGGTGCTACTAGCAAAATAGTATGATCATATGCTTGTCAGTTTTTCAGAAGAAGTCTTTTGAAGAGCTTGACTGATGTGACCCTTGTGACCTTGAAAGTAGGTCAAAGTCATTTTCATTAGCAAACTTTGTTGTTAACTATCTGAGTAAGCTTCAAGCTAAATATTAAGAGTCTATACCTTCGCAGTTTTAAAGAGGAAGTTGTTTGATATTTTTTTACATATTTGACACCTTTTGACTTTGAAAGTAGGTCAAGGTAATTTTCATTCTAAAACTTTGTCTTGATCCAATCAATGAACATAGCACCCAAACACCATGACAGTTAGCCTTTCCATTCTTCAGAGAAGTTGTTTAAGGATCCTGTCCCAGCCAGAGCAGAACACTAAAGAATTCCACTGTCGTTTTTCAGTGTTAGAGTTACATGCCCCTGATTACCATTTCGACAATGTTGTTATCATCCTTTCAATAGATTTCGTTTGAAAAATGTTTCGGCAACAGAGTTGTGTCCCTTGTGTTGAAAATCTCCAATCGTGAAAGTGTGGGCAAAAAAGCTGTCGTAACGATGTAAACAACGTCATGGCAGTGATGGCTGACATGCAAGCCTGACCTAAAATCAGGCGTTTTAAATGTTAACTAAACGCATTAACTGACAGTAATAACAACAACGATGTTCAATATCAACTGCTAGACCACGACTATGCGACGAAACAAAGTGACACTAATTCACACATTGAAGAGACGCTGACTAGTGAGGCCCCTACTACTGACAATTTTACTGATGAGCTGACACCGACATCCGATGAGGATCCCTCTAGTACTAGTGATCAAGAATACGCCAATAACTTTTTAGCCTGGTCGCAGGGTAGACGAGTGGTTGATGTTATCTGAATACCTGGACCAGAAAGGTTGTAAGGAATGCGGTACTAGGCTACGGTTGTGCAATACCCAACAGGAAAGACATTTTGGCTTGGGAAGATTTGTATACATACAAGTAAGATCATTAGTCAGGATTATATTCTATATTTGTTATTACATGTATATGCCCAAGAGGCCTATACTTCAAGTTCATTTTTTTATATTACTAGCAACAATGTTATTTTTACAATGTGATATTTTTATACCACAATATTGTATGTTGTTATTTGTACATAATGTAAAAGTTTATTAGTGTTGTATAGTGTGATATTTGTTAAACCACAATATACGTTGTTATCTGTATATAATGACAAAGTTTATTATTGCTATATACTGTGATATTTTTATGTCACAATATGGTATGTTGTTATCTGTACATAATGTGAAAGTTTATTATTGTTTTGTTCAGAATGTAAATGTTTATTATTGTTGTATATAGTGTGATTTTTTATATCACAACATAGTATGTTATTTGTACATTATGTAGAAATTTATTATTGTTGTGTAAAGTATGTGGAACTTTGTTATTGTTGTCCATTGTGACATTTTTGCTATGACACAGTTAAGTACATTGTTTGTTATAATGTTATTCATATACAATGTGCAATCTGTTTTATATTGGTTATTACATTTGAAGTAATTTTAATGGTTGTTAATGCCTACTGTTTTATATTTGTATATAAAAAGTGCTATATTGTATGTTGTAAATTGTATATATGACTTTTTGGGATTTAGAATTATTATTGGTACAATTGTAAGAGTTGTCTCTCTTTTTTGTTTAGTTTCTTTGTATCAGTCCGCAAGATATTTATTTTTTGTCACCTATTTTCATTTCGTTGTCCTAAACGTGTTGCATTGGCACTCAGAATTTTATTGATTCATGTAATGGGCATTTTTGTTTGTTTTAGTATTATTTTTAGAAAATTACTCAGTTTTTTTTGTATTTTGTTCATCAATATTGACATTGTTATTATTTTGTATGTGTTATATTGCTAATAAACCATTATTGCATCAAATGAAATGTATTTTGTTTCATTTTGTTCAATTAAAAAAAAAAATGAAAAAAATAGAAATTTAATAATTTCCCAAAAAATCTGTAGAAACTACCACAAGGTATGAGTTCAGAAATGATTTGGTTATGCAATAGCGATGTTGTAGAAAAAGCAACAATGCATCATTACATTTTTAGGCAGAGGGACGGGGATCTTTAAAGGAAAATTTGACAGACAATGGATTGACGAGGGCAGACATGGCATAAGCTCACTAGCCCTTCAGGCAGGTGTGCTAATAATATATATCTATTTTCATATAATTTCAAAAAACCCTTGAACTGTCATCTATTGGCAAACTCATATACAGATTGCATTAATGCCTTCAATATTTCAATGTATAAGAGTATACAAAATACCTACTGTTTCCTAGATAATTAGCCATTTCAGTAATGTAATGTACTGTGTACAGAAGTCAAAGGCCATAACTCTGGTAAATAGTGAAGAAATCCTACAAATATGCCACTTTCTTTCTGTTATATATAGCCTCCAAATCCAGGTTAATTTCAAAGTCTCTATAAAAGAATTTTTTTATCTGATTTAATATTCAATTAGAAATCATAACGTTCAACATTTAATTTTTATTAATAAAGGATTCTTCCGGGTTTGGTTAAGAAATAAAAAAGGTGATTAAATTGTGATAAAATACGAAGGAAATTTATAATTTCTATTCGTCCTAAAGATGTTAAAATCCTTCTGTTCCATATCAAAGTTCAGTTTTTGGAATTTTGTGCAGGTCCACAGTAAATCTGATACCTAAAAATGCAAATTTTGTAATTCCCTATAATAAGTTCCACTCTGGAAGGTATGTATCATTACTATAAATTACTAGCCGATCATCCAGCAGGTGACCATATTAATCAGATAGAATAATCTAACGTTAATCTGAAGGGAAACTTGAACCATATTAATGATAAATAGGTCTGTGTAACAGTGAAGTAAATATAAATCTTATTTTTAACATGATATACATAAAATAATGTTCTACGGGTTAATTTCTAACAATTTCATTTCCAATGAGGGAAGTTGTAGAGTGTGTGTGCATGCTCAAAGTACATTGAATTTTTCTGTTGTAACAGGAGAAAGAGAAATGCATGGCCGGACCGGGGTTCGAACCTGGGACCCTCCAAACTCTAGCCGGACGCTCGACCAATTGAGCAATCTGGTTGCCCACTGACGACCTAGTTCAGTTCCACTACAATATCATTACTTTTTGTTTGTAAATTATTCTTAAGCTTCTGTATAAACACTGATAATCAAAAAGCTCAAATATAAATCTAATTTTTAACCCAAGGCAAGGGTAGAGCCAATGCCGTGGTTTTCTTAATGGTGGAATAATTTGGTCCTTTGCTCCTCGTGTGGATGCCCGAAAGTATGCAGGGGATTGAGTAAAAAAGAGAACATCATAAAATAGATTCAAGGAGCAATGAGTTATTCTTGTAGTTTATAAGAATTATTTTTAACCCGATATACAGTAAGGTATTTTGTTAAATATGTCTGAAAATAACATGTAAATTTTCACTCAGTTTCTAATTATACATGAAAAACCGTGATTTTCACGGTTGACTGCAGCGTACAAGTTTTACACCCTTGAAATACACATTATCGTCGATTTCTAAATTATTAGATGATAAATAGAAATTTTTGTTACTGTCACATTTAGAAAATAATGTTTGGATTTATTGTATAATTTTATAAAAAATATAAACGTGAGTAATGAGATATTAAAATATCATTATAAATTCCTGGTACGGGGTTTTAGTCCGGGAGTGGCGTACAAGATTTACCTACCACCAGTGTGTCTCACAATTCAAGCACATGTGCTTGTGGTTGGTATTACGGTCAATGCGATAGTTTGGTGCTTCAAACCTACGAGATATGTTGTATATAAAGTAACAAGTACAATCGTCGATTTCTAAATTATAAGATGATAAATAAACATTTTTGTAACTGTCACATTTAGAAAATAATGTTTGAATTTATTGTATAATTTTATAAAAAAATATAAACGATCGCGTTAATGAGATATTAAAATATCTCTTTATTCCTGCTACGGGGTTTTAGTCCGGGAGCGGCGTACAAGATTTACCTACCACCAGTTTGTCTCTCAATTCAAGTACATGTGGTTGTGGTAGGTATTACGGTCAATGCGATAGTTTTTAAACCTACGAGATATGTTGTATATAAAGTAACAAGTACAAAGGTAGCACATACTTTCGTTTTCTATATACGTACTACAGTAAACAAATACGACAGCATATTGTGTGTAATCACTACTTTCTGACATAATGCTAGTCTGTGTGTGTATAACGGATGATCAATCTTGTCCTTGCATCACTGTCACACATTATACTCACCGTGTAAACGTAAAGTCAGACAGTAAATAGCAGACAGGTCTGTGCTTTCCGGACGTTGTACTTTCACGCCCCACACATAGTCTCGTTCAACCAGACGCTCGATCACTTGTAATATTCGGCGTAGCTTGCGAAGACAACAAGAGTCTGGTTGAACGAGACAAGCCACACACACGGATGTCATACATACATCTGTAAGCAAAGAATCGGAAATACGATGCACAAGTTCCGGATGTTGCAATATTTAAGTCCGTGGTGCAATGTTGTGAAAAGATAATGTGTTAGGTTGTTTTATCTTACGTTAATATGTTTTACGGCACGGCCGTTAGTGAGGGCGGAGCCAGGTTGTACTATAAATGTATCGGAATATCGGTACTGTACTCTTTCAAGCATTGCGTGATGTGTTAAATTACTAAATCAGACCTACATGTATAGCTATACAGTGTATATTGCAGTTAAGTTTCCTTTCTTGATTTCTTTTTGGCTGACAAGATGTTTGATATCTTTAAGTTTTCCGCCTAGGCGTATGATTGAATGACATTAATTTGAGAATGCGAAAGGTTCATTAGACTATATAAGTATTTAAATTTGCACCTCTTGAATCTTCTACAAAGACATTGAAATAAAACATATTAGGAAGGATATTGTTAATCATGTATAATAGCATAGTTATCTGATATCCACGAAAAGATAAACATATATGTATATATCTTTACAAATAAGCCCTTTGGATTACTTCAAACTTAACTTCAATGATTTTTAATATTGCATCAAGAGATAATTTATGCAAAGTATTTTACAATTTTTGTGCTTTTTATGTGTAAAA